TGGTCTACTATAAACACTGAGCTTTTCTGGAATTTATTTAACAGCCTTGGGAATCTAAGCCCTCTGTCTGGGGGTGGCGTCTTCACCCCCACACTTACCAGTGGAAGACAGTGGACAGTCGCTGGAGGAGGAAACGAGCAGTGAAACTCCAGGGAGTGGGGCTAGTTACCAACACCGCCAGGGCATCCCTCACTTGATGCAGGAGGGAGGGAGGCATGCCCCTCCTCCCTTGAGCTGTGGCAGAGTGCAGAGGAAGCAGATGGTGAAAGCAGGGAGGAAACAGCAAAGAGAAGCACTGGCAGTGGCTGGCATGCCACCAGAGAAGGGAGGCTGGGCCAGCAGCCCCACCCCGTGCTGAGGGTAAGGCAGGATGGTGAAGCCAGAGAGGTGCTTCACTGGGCATGAGGGATGCACATTATACAAATCCTACCTGGGAAGGAGGGACTGGAGAGCCTGGTGGCATCCCATTCCGAGGGGGGCAGCTTAAGTAGCTGGCAGGGGGCAGGCCATGGAGGAAAAGCACTGGCGAGACCCAGAGATGCTGGGAGAGCAACTGGGCTACTGTGAGCAGGAGAGAGGGAACAGGGTGCTCATAACCCCCTTCCCCCTGTGCTATCTGAGGCCAGAGCTGAGCCGGCTTTCTAAAAGTCATGCCCTGGAGGAGCTTGCCTCACCAAGCTTGGACCGAGAGCCACCAGGACCTGACACCCTCATTTAGTATGGATGATATTTTGGGAATTAATGCTTTAGGACTATTTTAACTGTGTGTAATGCTACTGCTACAATTTGATTTTTAATATGTTTCTTTTTCTTTTAATTACTGAATTGTTATGCCTTGTTTCTGGTGTGCACCTGGCAAACTTGTTTTATTTCTAACACAATTATACTGGGATTTCATGGATGTAAAATTACTTGTTAACTTATGACAGGCAAAAACATTTCCATGATCCCAAAAGATACATAATGAACATCTGAGAGATCATGAAACAGCAGCAGCTATTTCTTGATTACCAGTTTATATATTATATACACTGCACAGTGTGTCTGTATATATGAGTATAAACACACACAATGCAAAAGTTTCTACTGTTTGCAAAAACCTACCATAATATAAAGTGGAGTGGCTGTCTGCCTTCCCACCCCAATACAACTGTTGTTACACAAATCATTAATACCAAAAAGAAAATACATAAGATTGAAGGAATTTTATTTACCTTTTTTCCTTTGAATAGGACATAATTATAGAGAAGTTTTCATACAAGGAAAAATCCTTTAGTTGCCCCTTTCTGCTAAATGAAACAGAGCACACAATCTTTACACATTCATAGGTATTTTTTTTCCATTTTCTCCTTTTTTTAAAACTATACACAGGTTTCTCAGGTTGAAGCAAAATGCAAGGACATATTGGTACTGGTATATTACAGCTACTTACATTATTTAAGAACAGCAAATGGAGAAAAATAAGTTATTTAAATATTGATTTCATATACAGAAAGTGCAACTTTTGTTAGTTGTTACATAACTTGCTTTAAGTGTTTGTTTTCCAAAAAAGAGGTCTCAGTTATGGATAAAAGTTAGCTTGGACGTATTAGCCTAAAAACATTACAATACAGATGTACAGCCATGACTTGGTGGACTGACCTTTATTGCTGCACTTAGGACAGTGTGAATAGGATTAGCAAGTAGATGGGCTCTAACAACACATTTCCAATACTGCCGCCTAGCACCCAAAGCCAGGTTTACAAATTAGCACAGTGGTCAAGACAGTCAATCCTATCCCGCTGAATTTGAGACTATTGCCTGCCTTACCAATTACTGTTTCCAGTTAAGCTGTTCACCAGGAACTCTTGAGTTGCTCTTTGTCTAGATAGCTGACATAATATGCTAATTAAATTCTGGTTTGGGGTATTCCTGTAGTCTCCAATATTGGTTTGTATGTCAGGAGCAAATAGTAAATAGCATAACATTGTCAACACTGAGCTCCTTACATCACT